CCGCTGCTATGGACAATATTATTTTTTATCATTTTTAATTAATTTTGTTTTATTTTTAGAGAATTATCTTTACTTAAAAATGGTGAAAAATCAAAAAGTCCAATAGTCAATTAAAATAGCAAATCCCTTCTTAATCAATTCGCGTTGTCTAATTGGTAAGTTAAATTGTTCTTTTGGCAATTCGATTGATAGGGAGTGGTATTTGCATTTCATTAAAATTGATTCTCAAATAGATATTCTCCATAATTGGCTCTCTTGATTCTATTTCATTCCAAGGCACGAAATTGGGTTTTCCTTTTAATTGCGCCATCCTGCCACGATAATTTGCTGTTTGTTTGCATTTGAAAAAAACAATTACGTTACAAATTGAAATTAATCTAGTGGTTTGAGTAGCGTACGGTGGTGCATGTGTAATATACCTCAACTATAGCATTTTATTTTTATTCAATGATGTAATCACCCTCAAAATTTTTAATTGGTTTTTAATATCTGAAGAGGGCATTTTGGATATCAAATTTTTAAATTTTTTGTCACATAGAAAGCGTTGTAGCGATCGGAATAAATTAAAATCCTATGGTGCAATGTCGGACGAGTATGGTGGGGGGTGAGGCAATTCATTATTTTTTTTCAGGGTTTATCTTGCGCAGTGCGGTATAGATTTATTTAAGACTGTTATAGTTCGAATATATATGTGGGTAGTAGTAAATTTTTTACTTTAGGGCATTTTAAAACAACGTTGGGTCTTTTAAGGTAGTTGTCGTGCTGTAAGCATAAAATCAGAAAATTTTAAATTTTTGTATACTTATTAAGGACATGACAATACAATTATCCTTAAAATTTGAATTCGATTGACCGTCTATAACCAAAGATAAATTCAATTAAAAATTGGATAATTAACATGGATTGTATACGCTTTCTGTAGTTCTGTACCATGGTACTAAGAAACTGCAGTTTCTTAGTTATAAAAAAAACTAACTGTCAGAAGCTTTAAAAAAACTAACAGTCTTTTAATGTATTTTTGCTGAATTAAAAAAAAATTAAAATTTTTTGACCGTCCAATTGTTTATAAATAACCGTTTAAAGTTCAACAATTTGTATAAAGTATACATCACTAGTGTCAGATAAAAACAGTAAATTCAACAAACTGATTCAGTCTTCAATATATCTATTGGTTGAGCATAAGCGAGGTTGCCGGATTAAAACTTATGAAAATATTTGAAAGTATTACGTAAAGTTAACGTCTCCAGGGTACAGTCTTGCGAAAAAATTATGAATCACTACAAGCTCGTATACTTTTACGGTGCGTATAATCTAAAAATTTTTGACAATAATATTGTACCACGACAACTACCTTAAGTCCGTTTTAGGATATTTTGAGAACATTTTTCGGATTTTTACCATATTTTTAGAATTAAATTAGTAGTTTTGGTCTAATTTTTAAAATATAAAATGTTTTTAAAACAAATTTTTGATCTGCAAATCGTTTTATTGAGTAATTTAGTTTATTTTATAATTAAACATTTTTTTTTTCGTAATAATTGAATCCGAATTGGCTAAATGTAAATCGAGTTTAAAAAAAAATGTAACATACAAATTTATCATCGCGCAATAAATCAGACAACAATAATACCGCCCCTAATTTAAATAAGCACAATATCCCGTAGGATAATAATAGTTTTATTACCGAAAAAAGTTCACGGACAGGTTGGTACCCCGATTTGAGTACAAACTTGTCAATGCAATGTAACGGAGGGAGAGAAATTTCGTTTGTTATTTGCAAGAAGTAAATAATATAATAATGATATGCGGACCTCTAATGCATGCAGACTCGTTTTAAAGTTTGACGTATGCGATTTAAAGTAACCCATATGTCGAGTGCACAGTGTACTAGTGGCGGAGCGAGAGTAAATCTGAAGGGCAGCGAAGCGAAACTGAGCAGCAGCCGGGGTTGTTTTTTAGTTTTAGGGGAGCGAGGGGCGCGATCACGTATTTATTTATTAAAAACCAGGCCAGGAGAAATCGAATTCGACACACGTTCCAAAATGATGACTCTATTAGACCTTGTAAAAAAAAATGTTTCCTTCTACAAACACACACACATGACAAAAAGTTTATGGTATGCCTACCTATATCATTTTCTGAAAGTAAAACAATAATTTAGAACAAAATTACATTAATTGTATTATTTTTAGAAAATTAGAGTTAGAAATCTGTTTGACCGGCTTTCAAAATGTCAGTGTCAGTTTACCAAATTTTTGTAAAAATAACAATTTCTCCTTTGAAAATGGACTAAAAACCCAAAATAGAAGCAGTTTTTCACAGTGAAAATGAAGAGGATGTTTTTATGGGTACTCCACCAAAAAAAATTCTGCCCACCATATCCCATTATAATTTTTCAATGTATTTTGACCCACTAAACACGAAAATCACAAAAAAATGTATGGAAGCGTTTTTGAAATATGAATTTTAAATTGTGTTTTTCTATTTTCGGAGGTGTTTTGACGTTTTTAAGTATAGCTTGAAATCTAATTGATCGATTTGGTCAAACAAGCTCTTAAATTGAAGGAATTTGAGCCCTCTAAAACTTTATTTTACATACTTTTGGATCGGATAAGTATTTTGACGCTAGCGATTTTAATAACTTAAAAAATTCGTTATTATGGCAAAAATTGAGGTCGAAAATTTACATATCGTCCTGGGAAAGGTTTAAATCAAACAGATAACTCCAGTTTGACATTTTTACAAAAAAAAAACAAGCTAATGTTGATAAAAATACATGAAAAAATGGCGAAGTTATGAATTTTTTAGTTCAGCTTTTTGACGATTTTTATTTTATTTTTTTTCTTTTATTTCGTAATATGTTTATTTTTTAATGAAAACCTAATTAAAGTGCATGATTGGAATTTTTTAAGTATTTTACGTACTTATTTCACCAAAAATTATTTCGTAATATGTTTATTGTTTAATGAAAACCTAATTAAAGTGCATGATTGGATTTTTTTTTACTTATTTCACCAAAAACATTACTTAAAATTTAAATTTGACATGACTCCGAAAACGTGAATTCTTTTGTTTCTCGTTTTGGCATAGTGACATTTTACTGCTATTTTTTGATATTTTAACAGAGTATTTTTATCATGGTTTTATTTAGTTAATAAAAAGTGTAAAATAAGTAGATAGTTCGAGTGCGTAAATAACCCGGACAATCTGGGCGACGTTAGTGATGAGCACGGAGAACGTTTTCACCAGCAAATGAAGGCTATGGAGCGGCGGTATCATTGCTTCTGGGATGCAGCCATGATGGGTGATTACATTTGGTCCCTTATACGAGAAACGGAATACGAAAGCAACAAAAAACAAAAAAGGAGCCATATTTTTTTTTAAACTTTGCTTATTACAACAAAATAAAACTTAATATCTTCAATGTTTAATATTTATTGTTCAATATTTACTATATAATTTAATTTCAATATTTAATGTTTGAAATAAAAATCAATGTTGAATATTAAACTTTATAAATATAACTCAATAAAATGAAAAAAAAGTAAAAATTTTGGAAAAAACTGAATTTTGGTCTTTCACTGAAAAATTCATAACTTTGCCATTTATCCATGGATTTTTATCAACAGCAGCTTATTTTTTGCCTTTAAGTATAATCTATACGTAAAATAAATCAAACTAGACTTATCCTTTCGACTTATATCTTTCCCAGAAAGATTTGTAAATTTTTGACCTGGATTTTTGTAAAAAAAAATGACTTTTTCAACTTCATAAAATCGCCAGTATCGAACTACTGAGCCGATACCAATTATACAAAAGAAAGTTGTTATGGCTCAATTACCTTTGATTTAAATACTTGTTTGGTCAAATCGATTAATTAGAACTCGAAGTATACTCTAAAACGTCAAAAAACCTCAGAAAATTTAAAAAAAAACAACTGAAAAATCATATCTCGAAAACCCTTCCATGAAAAAAATTTTAGTGAGCCAAACTACACAAGAAAATAATAGTAAGACATGGTGGCCAAAATGGCTGTAGACTAGTGTTATTAATGTTTTTTAGGCAAACACTAGTTTGCATATAAACTTTACGAAGATTAATTGATACTATTTAAAAATTGATTTTGATGATTGTATTAAATTTGACAACTGTCAAGTAACATAAAGCCCATTATAAAGGTGGGAGTAGGAAAACATATTGAAAGGTAGGATTATTTCTTACTTTTTATTGCCTATGAATACATTGTAGATAGATATTACATTTCAATGATTGCAATAAACAGTGTAGTATAAATTAAACTTATTTTGTACCAATTGTTTTATGTAAATTAAATTCATTTTAGATTATAAAGCGTGTTATACAAAATTGAAAATCGAAAGCAATATAAGATAACCAATCTCAAAAGTAAACATTATCATTTTTTATTAGGGCAAGCCCATGCACGGTGCTTATAACGCAAAGCCACATGTTCATCCCCTAATAAAATAATTATCTACCTAATGCGCAACCCCCTGTTTTTATCTGTTTCGCATTTGCCCCCTGATAATACCCATACTACCCATCCATCTATCTGTCTTTCCATCTATACAGCAAACACACCAACTATCTTTTCTATATAGAGATAGCGATTTAGGTCCCAACTGTTCCACGGCTGTCATTTAATATCAATTTCTTCGTTGTTTTATATCGATTATCATGGAGCAAGGGATGTGGAGCTGCACGGCACCCCCTGCAGCTCTAATCCCATAAATACATTATTATTATTATATCTTATTCTGCGACATATGTATGGCTATTAGGAGGCTATAATCGAATCATAGCCTTGCTGACTGACTTTATTAACAGATTAAAGTGAAGGTTTTTCTCTTTGTACATTTAATCCGAATTATCCATTGCAGGATGTACTTTTTCTTAAATAAAATCAAGTTTTTGATAAACAAAAGTCTAAAAGTTTGATAATGTATTTCTTATTCACCATGCTGTACATTCTACTTTTGGAGCGTTTGAGGCTTGTCTGTCAGAATCCCGTTTGAAAAATGGCGGACGCGTCGGGTGTCAATCAGCGCTGGCGAAAAACGCACGTCCTCCATGCGGATCGCAGCTTATTGAAGAGGTGGCGGATCGGTCGCCGCCGTCGCACAAGGGTGCGGGAGTTGAACCAGGGGAAAATGGGGAACTGGGGAGCGGTAATCTGCTAATGGGAGCGGTGGGTCCGTTCGTCCGTTTGCGATCCGCGCTATGAATTCGATTAGCGGGACGGTGCCGCCGCCGACAGCCGCTCCCGATACCATTATGCGAAGACACGGCGGTCGAATTTTGGGGGGAAACGGGGAAAGATTGATAAAAAGACCCTCGTCGCTTGTGTAAAGGAGGCTTTTGTGTGCCTGATCCACCTTTCGGCAGATGTATTTTTATATTAAGAGAGTGGACAGGCTTCTTATTTGGGTATACAAATATAAAATAGTGAAAGGACCAACACTGTTCAAAATTAAACCTTTTGAAATACCTAATCAGAATTAGTTAAGGAAAAATAAGGTAATATGCTTAAACGAGTAAAGCAATTTACCTTCTCGTTTATTAGGCAGAAACGAATGCCTTAGTTATATAGTGTATTCACTAACTTCTAGATAAATATTCATACTTTACTTAATATACTTGTCAAATTTAAAAAGATAGGCAGATTACCTAAATATTTAGTCAAAATCTCAATTACTTTTAGGTACGACAATTTTGCTTTTAATTTAGGTAATTCTTCTAAATTATTATGGCAAATTATTGAAATAATTTAGGTAAACTCCTTTAAATATTAGTGACTTACTTGCAATCGGCTACGATCGCTAATACCGACGTTTTACGATAAATATTCGCGCCTATATTGTCCACCATAATGCCAAAATCAACGAAAGCTTAAAGACCGCGTTGTGTGCTATTAATATAACAACATATTTAACAATTATTGTGATATAAGTGAACATTTTGTAGTGCTATAGTTAAGTATTTCAAACTAAAAGGAATTTCCCATTGACCCCAATATATTTTTAAATAATCCCAACCCTGCAGGGTTGGGATTATTTAAAGCGTTCAGGTACTACATGTAGTACCGGAACCGCCGTTGTTAATTCGCCTAGGACACAAAGAGTCGTAACTTGGAAGAAAATTCCTATGCTAGGAAAAATATATATAATTTGCCTGAAAACTTAGCTAAAATCTACCTAAAAATTTAAGCAAATTGCCTTAGAAAGAGGAAATTTATTCTTTTATTCTCAGGCAATATCCCTTACGATCTAAGGTGTATTATCTTTGAAACCTAAGTAATTTTGCTTAATTAATTATATCATTTTCTTTAAAAATATCAGTTAAAGAATTCACTAATTTAAAAGGGGAATATTCCTCTGAATTCATTTCAAGCAGTTTGCCTTAAAAAATCAATGGTCCTATATAGTCTAATATTTTAGGTAAAAATTAGCTAAAATTTTGAACAGTGAAGTGTATAATTTTACAACAAAAAAGATTGTAATTTTATACAATATTTTACTAGTATAAAAACTATGTAGGTATACATTTAATAATATTTGTAAACATTGAAATTGATAACCGAACTTTTTTCTTGTACGACTCCGCTAGTTAAATTTAATATTACAATTTCTTGGCCTGTTTACTAAATTTTATTTTTTTAATACACTGCGCGTCAAAATTAATGCATAATAAGTAAAAAACTCTAAAACGCCTTTACCAATCTTTAAGAAATTTTGTATAAAAATACTTCATATCTCAGTTTACGTGTTCGAGGGTTTTTCGAGAAAATATTTTTAAAGCCCTTTTATTTAATAATAAAAAAACGTTCGAAAAATAACTTTTAGAGAATTTTTTTCAAGTAAATAAAAAATATGCTGTCAAAGACCGTATTTTTATACCCTGAAAATTTTGTACAAATGAAACGAACAGTAACGAAGTTTTTTATTATTAAATAAAAGGACTTTAAGGATACTTTCTCGAAAAACCCTTGAACACGTAAACTGAGATATAAGTATTTTTATCCAAAATTTTATAAAGATTTGTAAAGGTATTACTTGTAATGCGTTAATTTTGACGCGCAGTGTATATTAAAAATTTCCCACCAGATTTTTTTTTATTTTAACATATATTTTTTATTTTTTTTTACTTGTTTTAAATATATTTTTAAGCTATAAAGTTTAAACATTTATTTATTTATACAGGGTGTCCCTAATATGGCAAACTAACGCCGTACTATGCGATTGAAAGATTTATTTTGATATAGAATATACATTTTTTTTCTGACGAGTTGAATATGGAACGAAAATAATTAAGGTATCCAGTTGAACTTAACATGGTTGGCAGTGTAAAAAACTAAACCTTAAAATATCGTAACTTTGTTATTATTAACAATTTTTAACATTTTATTTTTTAAAACTATTTAGAAAATTATGTTCAATAATATATATAATATATAATAACATATATAATATAAATAAATAATACAAAAAATGAATATATATACAGTATTGGCCATAACTCTAAAACGGGAATTTTTTTAAGTGAATAAAACTATGCTGTTAAAGACCGTATTTTTGTTAGTATACCCTGAAAATTTTGTACAAATTAAACAAACAGTAACGAAGATACAGCGCTTCAAAGTCGGTAAAAATGACCCCTTTTTGATTATTTTGCTGAAAAGTGGTCATTTTTGACGACTTTAAATCGCTGTATCTTCGTTACTGTTCATTTGATTTGTACAAAATTTTCAAGGTATACTAACAAAAATAAGGTTTTTAACAGCAAGCTGAAGAATAATAAAGGCGTTTTAGAGTTAGTTTTTTTTTACAGTGATTCCAAGAATTATGGCCAATACTGAATATACATTTGCTATTTTTGACATTTTTTTTATAAAATATTTATAGGTTAATTAATTTTCTAATATAAGTTTTTATTTAATAATAATATTAATATTTTCACCGGCATTTTAGGCATGCACTTTAAAAAGAATATTGTATGTTACTAAAAAACATGTGTTTTAACCCTGTAAATACTTATATTTAGTTTCATTTTTGTTTATAAATTTATTTATTTTTCGAATCGACTTTTCTTAATTTAAACATTTAAACATTAAACCATCAACAAACTAAATTGTACTAAAAAAAAGCTGTACAAACATCAATGCATAAATAATATTTCATGGGTGTAATAATGCAAGAATTTTTGTTAAAATGTATATTATGTATCAAGTTTGGTAAACGCCATTTTATACACGAATTTAATTTAGGCACGAACGAGCTTGCGAGCGAGTGCTTAAATTAATGAGTGTACAGAAAAGTTTATAAACGATGTGCATACTATACTTTTTCTACGACAACTACTTATTATTATCTTAAAATGATTTAAATCAAAAATTTGTATAGATCGCCATGTATAAAAACAATGTCACATTTTTATATTTTATAAACACAGATTATAAAGGTTATAAATCGAAATGTATTTCTTGAAAATTGACAGTTTTTTACAGTTAAAGTAAAGAAAATGTTTTATGAGGACTTTACAGTGGAGTCCGTGCCCGAATTTAAGTTATAGTTTACTGCCGGCGAAATTAAAAGGTCAGTACAATGTTCATATACTATTTAATACTTTTGTATTTTTGTATTGAGTTAATAAAATAATTTTTACATTTAGTATTATTTTACAAGAAAGGCACTTTATTTTACTTAACGATTGTATGACATTTGACAACTGCCAACTAACTTAAAACTAACTTCAGCCCGTGATTAAAAACCTGTTGCTAACTTCAGCCCGTGACTAAAGCACCATAAAGCCACAACTTGTCAATGTGTATTTAAAAGGTCACTTAGTGTCATTGAAACATGTACGATAAAGGGCGTTTTAAAGGTGGGAGTAGAAAAATTAATTTACGTAGTAATAAAAAATCATTAATTTAATTTGAAACAAATTAAAGACATCTTTTATGAATCTAGAAAAAAGTTTTTGTAAATACCTAGGTATTTACATAGTTACAAAAGTGGCAAATATTAATAATAGTACTTTTAAGAGTTTTTTCATCAGTTTGGACATGGTTTTTAAAGATTTCAATGTTTAAGTGGTTCTAAAACCAATAATTTAAATCACTTCCTAAGGATTTTTTTTTTAAATTATAACAAAATCGTTAAAAACGTTTTTTTGTTTATATTAGACCAAATTTGGATATTAAAGAATTTAAACACATTTGAGGTAATTAAGGAGAAACTATTTGGCAAACCTGTATTCCTTTAATTTTTTAAATTTCCATAAAAATGTATACGAAAATGTTATTTTCATTGTAAATTTAAGCTTATCATCAGGAGCGGCATGAATTCACCACTTTAAAGTGGTAGGCATATATAGGCAAATGCCGCGTCATGCTGCCCTGCTACAATCAAATTAATTATTCATAATCCGGCACTCCCTTGACGCTCCTGCTGCTGCTGAGACGCCACCCCAACTGCACCCCTTTGCCCCTCTAGCTGTTCCACCCCTGCAGCTTTACTAAACACTATTTATACTACCTATACACTTTTCAATACTTTTAAAATCAAAAACAGGATTTTTTAAATCATTTTATTTTACTTGCTTAATTTATTGCTTGAATAAACAATTCAGAAACTCGATTAATTCAACCCTAATAGGGATTTCCTATTGTTTTATATCTTGTTTCAAAACTAAAGAGGTCATACGTAAATGAACCCAATTACTTAGTACATTACAATTAGTAAAATTAAACAACAATCCATTATTATTTAGAATCGATCCTTCGCGAAAACACATAAATTTAAATTTTGCTTTTAATGGTCGTGTTACAAAACGGCCGATTGTGATTTCAAGTTATTCAGCTGGCTTTAGTATTTTAGCGTTTCGTATTTTTATCGGTTAGTGTTCTTGGTCGATTCTTGGAAGTCGTTGCGGTATCGCGAGAAGCCTCGCGCGACGTTAATAAAGATACTAAGCACCGGCACACAAACACACACAACATTTTTCCTTATCTATAGCTTGGCCGACCACGAAACGGACTTTTTTCTCTTCTATAAGAGTACACGAAATTCATCAACAGCCAACATAGACGAAGTTTTTTAATCAAAAATTATTTTAAAATGTGTTTTAACATTCCTAAATATGTATTGATAACCAATTACGTACTACCGTGACCATATACACTGGACAGTAAGTACTTCAAAATTATACCACTAAGTTGACATTCTTAATTGTTTTCGAAACATTCTAAAATTTGATTTTGAATATCTAAATTGTGTTTTTAACTAAAAAGCAATATCATTCTACATATATGTATAAGGCTATCGAAAAGGAACCAAGCGCCAAAAACTTTTTCTGGGGTTAGTAAAATTATTTGTAAAATATTTAATAATGCTTCAAAGGTTAATCATTATTTGGAACTTTTCTCAAAAGGATTGAGAAGGTTCTAAAATCATTATTAATTTTTTAAGCAGCATTTTGCAAATAATTTTGTTCACCCGAGAAAAAGTTTTTGGCGCTTGGTCCCTTTTCGATAACGCTATCCATATTTAAACTTACGTTGGAGGTAATTAACTCCACCTCTGAAAGTTCTTCCTCTGAGTTCTCTTCGGATTCAGGAACTTCTTGTTTCTTTTCTTTGCAGCTAGTTCAGGTCCATTTCTTTGCGACTCCAGTGCACTTCTGATGTGCCCATTTGCCACATTGTTGGCACTGCATCCTAGTTTTTGTTTTGCCAAGGGCTCTTTTGCATATACCGCACTAAGTGATTTCTTCTTTGCTATCTTCTTATTTGTCATTTTACCACTAGTTTTTCATTCGATATATTCGATATTTTTTATTTATTATTTGCTTTAATTATGATAATTTTTAAGAGATGAATATTTAGAGGTTCGAGGTTCACACAGTGGGACAAACAATTGCTCAAAACAGTTTCCGAATTTCAGCAGACTACAAGACCAGCAAGGATAGTAGAGGTGCCGCGAGACACGAGACGTCTCGTCTCGTCTCGTCTCGAAGCCATTTTGTCTCGTCTCGAGAGCATTTTGTCTCGAATTTCGAGACGAGACGAGACGAGATAACATCCTTCGAGACAAGGCGAGACGAGACGAGACGAGACATATTCGAGACATATTCGAAATATTTTAATGACTTAATACGCTTTAAACGAATGATACTAACAGCATTTAAGTTTTAATAATTGTTTTTAACTTCAGAATTAGCAAAAAACAGCATTACAGGGTATGAGCGTGCATATAAATTGTTAAAATAAAACTTGTAATAAAATATAAAACCTTTATTTAAAAACTGCATGGTGTTTTCGAGGACATACATACAGGCCCGTTCCTGGCGAGCGTGCAGTGCGTGCACGCACGCAGGCGCAACATTTTGGGGGCGCAAAATCAAAGAGTCAATCAGTACTTTGTAACGATGTAACTTTCTTGCATATAATACTTAAACATATATGTATACATAGGATAAAGGTTACCGCCCTTTTTTTACGCTATAAAGCGCCTTTTGACGCTTTGATATTGGCGGCTTATTTTTTTTATATAGGGATCAAAATCAAAGGAGACAAATGGTCATAATATTTTTAGTATTTGTTTGATGGTTGCAGTTGACGATATCAAAGTTTGACAGTAGTCTACACAATGCATGACTTTGTAACGAGCTTACTCTCTAAAATAGAATGTCAAAAATGACTAATTCAATTAGTCTAATTGCCATAGCGAAAAGCAGCGACTAATAATAATTATTATCATCCATGAGACATTCTTTTACAAATCGAACGGATTTGTGAAAAAATAAAATATAACATTTTTAAATGTCGAGATTTTTTTTTTATAGCATCCTATTTATAATTAAGCCGACACCTATAAGGGGATTTTGTGCATAACACTATATTTTTGAAATTATGAATATTTTAAATTATCGTAATTTGCCGAAAATCTGTCGATATCCTCATGCTTAAAATTTTATATCTCCCCTTCGGATTATCGGATCAATTCGATTTTTTTTTTGTTTTGAAGGGTAATTTGTAAGGTTTTAATAAACACTTTAGCAATAATTTCCATTGTTAATTAAAAAAAATATTAACAATTAAATTGTTTAAATAATTTTTACATGCTGGTCCCCAAGTCCAAAAAAAATTAAAAAAATACCATGATGTGCGCTAATTTCTTACGTAAAAAACCCATATTTCAGAAAATTGGAGACTTTCTTAGATCGGAAGATATTAAATTATTTCTAGATCAAGTCATCGAGCGCGAGCAACGTTTGACAGTTCCCACGCGTTTAATCAATCTGTTGACGCAGTCATTGTGTTTATTACATGATTTTTGTAAAAAATAACGTATTTTATGAAGAAAAATGCCAAAAGTACCAAAATCATTGTTGGGTTCGCGATTTCGAACAGATAGATGCTGTAATTCTTTGTTTCCTCATCCAAACAGAAAAAACAAAGGTCTCAGAAAAGTCCAGGAGAAACATTTGTTGGCACTAAACATACCTGTTACAAAAAATACACTTAAATTAAAAATTTGCAACAAGTGTCGTCTCAGTTTGTCTAAAAAGGTATGTCAAATTTTTATTATATTTCAATAAAACTCATAACAAAAATGTAACCTATTCTTTTGAATACAAAAAAATAATTTAATAATAATCTCGAATACATGCATACTAAAGTGTTTTCATTTTTTAGAACGAGGAAGTTAAGGAATCGTTCTCTGACGAATTGACAGATAATGAAGTACAAAGTATAGAACCTACCCTGGAAAGTCCTGCACCTGAAGAGGACGACAAAGAAATCATTTCTGACGCAATCGATGCATTCAACATGGGTTTGCAATTAATTGGAACTTCACCAATTCAAAAGAAAAAAGTTTCCCAAAAGCGCTATTCAAAAAGAAAAATGGAAACCATTTCGAATGTGATTGTGGAAAAAATTTTTGATCCTTCGGTTGTAACTAATAATGTTGAGCAGAAGAAAAATGATGGAGATCATGTATTAAAAGTTTTAAAAGGCGAATTTAACTCAACAGAAGACCGTATTAAAAAAATTAAAATTCTGACTATTTTAAAAGACTGGTCTTTTCGGAAAATACAACATCATTTTCCTTCTGCTACGACTCATATGGTCATAGTTGCGAAAAAAACATGTGAAGAAAAGGGTATATTATCTGATCCTAACCCTAAAAGTCATCCATCATTGGAAGAAGATGTTGTTAATTTAATAGTAAGCTTTTATGAACTTGACGAGTACAGTCGAATAATGCCAGGAAAAAAGGATTATGTTTCAGTAAAGGTCAATGGAGAACGCACTCAAGTTCAGAAAAGATTACTATTAATAAATTTAAGAGAACTTTTTCAATTGTACACGGAAAAGTACCCACAGAAAAAATGCAGTTTTTCCAAATTTGCCGCATTACGACCAAAACATTGTGTGTTGATAGGTGCAAGTGGCACCCATTCAGTTTGCGTTTGTGCTATACATGAAAACGTAAAATTATTGATCGAAGGATCAAATATTAAAAATCTTACAGCTAACTCCCCAAACCCAATGCGAACATATCATGATTTTTTAAAACGTATGGTTTGCGTTGTGCAATCAGATAACTGTTTTTTTGGAACGTGCTCTGGGTGCCCTGGTGCAACGCCTTTAATTCAAGAACTCGAAAACTTATTTGAAGAAAATTTTATTGAGGAAATTACTTACAGGCAATGGACAAATGTTGATAGAACCACATTACAACTCATGATATCTCCATCAGATGATTATTTAGAAAAATTACAGACATCTTTACAAAAATTACTTCTGCATTCATTTCTTGTAAAAAAACAAAATGAATTTATAAATATTAAAAAAGAAGAATTAAACAAAAACGAGTGCATTGTTGTCTGTGATTTTTCAGAGAACTATGCTTTTGTAATTCAAGATTCTGTGCAAGGCGTTCACTGGAATAACAACCAAGCAACAGTTCACCCTTTCGCGATTTATTTCAGAAATGATGATGGTCAAATTTCTATAAAAAGTTTTGTTGTTATATCAGAATGTTTGCACCACGACACAATAGCAGTTTATGCATTCCAAAAAAAATTAATAGATTTTATAAAAAAGAACTTAAACCATATCACAAAAATCACATATTTTTCTGATGGGGCATCTGCACAATATAAAAACAAAAAAAATTTCGCCAATCTTACACATCATGTTAAAGATTTTGGTTTAGCTGCAGAGTGGCACTTTTTTCCCACATCACATGGCAAGGGTGCATGTGATGGCTTGGGAGGAACCTTAAAAAGGTTGGCTGCTCGAACAAGTCTTCAAAGGGTTTCTAATCCCATCCAAACTCCAGAAGAATTGTTCGAGTGGGCATCTGAGTCACTACCAAATATTTCAGTGACGTTTGTTAAAAATCATGAGTATGATGAGGCAAAAAAAAAGTTGGAGATTAGATTTACAAAGGCTGTAACTGTAAAAGGCACATTATCTTACCATTGCATAATACCAATTACAGAAAAGAAAGCAATAGTTAAACATTTTTCATTGGAAAAACAGTCCATTAAAGTTAAAATTATAAAATAATTATTTGGTTTGCTACACGTTTAGTTAATTAATTATTCCTGTAAATAAATATACTCAGTACTCAAATTATTTTTGTTAATTATAATCCTATAGGAAAGCACTGCGCCATTACAACTCTATGCCTGCAGCGCCCGGGCGCTACTTGACATCTCACGTCACGCGCGACCCAAAATAATTTAATATCTTCCGATCTAAGAAAGTCTCCAATTTTCTGAAATATGGGTTTTTTTACGTAAGAAATTAGCGCACATCATGGTATTTTTTTAATTTTTTTTTGACTTGGGGACCAGCATGTAAAAATTATTTAAACAATTTAATTGTTAATATTTTTTTTTAATTAACAATGGAAATTATTGCTAAAGTTTTTATTAAAACCTTACAAATTACCCTTTAAAACAAAAAAAAATTCGAATTGATCCGATAATCCGAAGTGGAGATATAACATTTTAAACACGAAGATATCGACCGATTTTCGGCAAATTACGAAAATTTTAAATAATCATATTTTCAAAAATATAATGTTATGAACAAAATCCCAAAATACGGGTCAGTTTATTTTGCCTGTAGAAATTGTAAAATAAATTTTAGGCAATTCTGAATGATGGAGTCAAAATAGGTGTTTGATTTGTAAAAGAATGTCTCCCATAGAGATAGTCAACTAAGTAAAATTGTCTGCTGAATCCGAAAATGTCGTCAAAAGTTATTTTGAGATGTAGTAAATTATCCATATAATATGGATATGACTAATAGCAGTCACTTATAACTTTAGTCCACAGCAATTTGTATCCCAGACATTTAACAGCTTATTATTATGTAAAATTATGAAAGTAAAGCAGTTTTTAAGATATAGTCAATGACAGAAAGTCATTGAAAAGGTTTCCAATTTGTGACGTGGATCTATTAAGAGTGAGGCGAATAACTGCGTTATCATTTTAGTTTATCCCACTTTTAAGAGCTTATATCTTTTTTGTTTTTTGAGTAAGACATTTTTTATTAAATTTATCCGATAATTCAAAATTAAATTGAGATAAACCAAAAAACCAAAACAATTCGAGACAAACGAGACAAAACGAAATTTCGAGACGAGACGAGACAAGGCCTTATCTCTTCTCGTCTCGTCTCGCGGTAACTCTAAAGGATAGGTCCTAGCAGCGTACTAACCAACCAATTCTCATTCATGAACCGGTTAAGGGGGATTCCGAATTGTCCTTAGTTTTGGGTCAGTCCAATGTCACCCAAAAACAAAAATATTTTTTTCTCCTTGTCCTGCACACCACTATCCTATATCGGGCGTATGGCCCGGCCCGGCGACAAAATTCCGGGAGTAGCCTTAACCATCGACACGGTCATCCACGACTTCCAAGGCAAGATTTACCAACCGGCGGGATACGTAGGAGAACTAAAAGGGGGTAAAATAACCCTGAGAGATCAGTGTAAGGCGTTGCCGATGAGGCCTGCCATGCGTTTCTTATACTCTTACTCAAAGCATTATATTCTATATTTTAAATTGAGTTTTTAACATTCTGACGTTTGTTTTAATATTTTTTAATAAAAAAAATTAAAAGCGCCATTCCACGGTGTATATAAGGGCTTGATAAAATTTCTCTAAAGATTAATTTTGTATATATATTTTTTTATAAAAAATGATGTATTTTTAGAAGGCGAAAAAATAGTGATTATTTTCGTTACTGTCAGTATTCGTAATACCGCATTTTTTCAGAAAAAACTTTATTTATTTTATTCAAAAATTATCCCAGAAAATCACATTTTATTTATTGCCCAGAGCTCTCCTGTTTTAAAAAGGCATTTCAAAAAGTTTTATTAATATATAAATATCAAATTCGAATATAACTTTAGCTGTATACAAATTTTTACTAAAAAAATAAAATTTACATAATTCAACCATTAATCATAAAATAAAAAAGTATTTCTTCTTCCTACAAATTATTGATAATAAATTTTTATAATATGATGATATAATTTTTATAATATGATGATATAATAAAATGTATCTACTCCTTTTGCATAATATTAGATTTTTTCGTGAATAATGATAAACATTAAAATTATAGATTTCCTGCCTAACAACGTGAACAATATACTTATTATTCACGTTGTTATGCATCAGTGATTGGCCGATTTCAATATTCATTGTGTTTTTAACCAATCGGGTTTTAAATTGGGAGAAGGCGACTATAATAACATTGGTAAAAAGTGAGGTTAACCATTTGACAGACGTTAAAATTTATTTTTTTATTTTTGAAAATCATTTAATTATCTACTTATTGGAATAGATAAATTATAGTATTACACTCGAGATTATGCGCATTATCTCTCGTATATACTATTATAGGTATAATAGGTATGTTTTTATATACTATTACTTACTTCTTAGCCTTATTACATATGGCTGAGAAGTAAGACTTTTTGTGCTGAGCTCAAAGTTTATAATTGAGTGAAGCACGTCTCAGCCGAATTGCATACAACATTTTAACTTCAAGCACAGTTTTATTTGTTAAACAATACATGAAACGTACTTACAATAATTATTATTAAAAGTATAAAGTGAGGTTATACATATATCTTCAGAACTGACAGAACTATCCATTTTTTAACGTTTTTTTACAGACTAGGATGGAAAAAACTTCACCCGATTGATCTAAATTATTTGTTTAGCCTAGGAGATATTTGAATACTTTGGTAGTGATCGTTGACAATAAAAAAGCCTTAAATTATAGAATGCTTAAAGATAAACATATTTTACATTACTCAGAAAAATTCAAGTTTTTGCTTGATTTCAATTCGCGACACATAATTAATAATAAATTACAAATGAACGAAAACTGACAAACATGATTTTTATCAAAAAAATTTAAATCAAAATGTTCAGAAAAATAAAAATGGATGTGGATGTACTGGATACATCGTCGATTTTAATAGGGAGATATTATATACTATAATAGTAGTCGATAGTTTATATAAACTTGTATGTTTTAAAGCTTGGTTTCCAAGATACAGGGTGCACCCATGGTAAATTTTTTAAAAAAATATTTATTTTTTCAAAATTTTTAAATACTTTTTTATAAGTTTAATTTTATTTTTAGGTTAATTATTTAAAAATACAACTTTTTTGTCTCCTGCATTTTTTCAATATTCTGTTTAATATTCAAGAAAAAAATAAATTTCGTTCGTATATATATATATGTATATTGGCGTGATATCCTATGGTATAGAGAACGCCGTGTGTTAATGCATATAAAAATCTATGTTTTTCTTTCCGAGCGAAATAAACTTTTAAACATTTAAAAAATGGTTAATGGGGAGAAACTCTGTTTATACAAAGTTTGAAATAAAGTTTAAAACTGTACATTTGGTGCACAATCAAAAAAAACTGGTTTAATCCTTTGCAAATTACTTTAACCTTAACGTAAATTGGGCCTTCAAAAATTTGATATTCTAAATTCTGTTCTCAAGTACACTTAATATATACTCAAGTAGGTATATATAATTATTATTCTATAATGCTAAAGACTTTAATTTAATTTAATTATCATTTCAAATTGTGATGAAATATGTTTAACATTTTTAATGTGGTTTTAATACAGAGTATTTGCCAGTGAAAAAAAGTATTTTCAGAAAATATTCACTTACCTTACGATATCCTGCACTCTGGTGGAAGGAACATCTTTGGGAGTGTTTCTCAAAACTGTGGCCAAAAGCTGCAAAAGGGATGTGCACAAAGGTTCAGATGGTAGAGTTTCTTCACAATCTCCCAAATCCTAAAAAATAATATTAAAAAAAACCTTTTAATTTCTACCGCAAAAATCTAGTAAAAATGTATACACCGAAAGAAAAAGACTGTTAATAGTTAAGGCATGATTAGTTATGGATAGTTTATTGATATTTATCTCACGATTTTTTGTTTACAAGCATAATATTCATAGATGCTAATTTCGGAGGAAATAATGAACAATTTTAAAATTAAATGACCCTATGTTTAAAGATTTTATTTTAATATAAACAAACTGCTCTCATTATTAAATTACTTTATTATATTTTATCTAATCTGTAACATACTCATAATTGTTAGCGAAAGGTATTTTACCAGTCATCGGGGTGTTAGTTAATTAGGAAGCAATGGGAAGAATTATAACAAAATAATCATTTTCTAATAGTTAAATTCTATATTTAAGTGTTAAGTCGTGAGTTAATAATTAACTTTCGCAGTGTAAATACTTATTTATTGTTTATTATGGCGCGCGCATCCCCCCTCTTCCAAAACTAACCCCACTGTGTGTTTGCCTGTGATACATGCTGATGGATGCATCGATAGTTTTTGGTTAACGTATACTTATATAATATTATACATATTATATTATTATATTATATTATAAGCTTTATTTATAATGACTGAAGAAGAGGACTGCACAAAATTTCTGGAATGTTGTGGCTTAGGTCATCTTGCCGCCAAATTCGAAGGTACGTACGTAATATTAATATATATTTTCCCCCCTTTACCACTGGTAACCAGGCAGATTAATGAATCTGTTGTAGTTTCTATAATAATAATAAAACAATATCGACTTTAACATTGCCTTCTTTAATAATTAGAGAAGGCAATGCCTTAACAGAGTATTAGCAGCCATTTCTTGTCGTCGTAAGTACGAATTGACAGTGATTTAATATTTAACGAATCGGGCAAACGAGTGTAAATTTAAATGACGTAAGTTAAATATAAACTAAACCCTTAATAAGGAGCAAGCCAGAAAAGTATATTTCTTCAGTTTTAAACTTACTCTTTTGTAACAAACAACTGTGTTTTATGGAAAAAAAGCAGCATTAAAAATTAAATAAATTCTTTATCATAAACTAATTTGTATTAAACAATTTGTCTTTTAGATGCAGAGCATTTCAATGAAAGTGTTGTGCACACTAACACCGGAGAATTTCAAGGAGTTAGTTCCAAAATTAGGAGAGAGATGTATCCTTAGAGATGTATCCTTATAATATATTAACCAAATATCCTAAATGATCATACGTACACATTACCCGAAGGAATTCGTTTGCAACTGTTCTTTCGCCTTTTAGAATATTATTTAGTTTTTATGAAGTTACAGAATGTGCAATGTTTTTTTTATATTTTTACAAAATATTTAAATAAATCAATATTATTTACATTAACTGTTTTATTGCCAACATTTGAAAAGTTAATATTAAAATTGAATTAGTTTATAATTACACCAAAACTACCATAGATTTAAGAATATAATATTAATAGTGACATAAAGATTTATAAGATTTCTATTACCAAGTTATTAGTTAACATTTAACTCAATAAAACTACACACTAATTCATAAGTTGTTATTAAGTGCGGCTAGATTTCTATTACCAAGTTATTAGTTAACATTTAACTCAATAAAACTACACACTAATACATAAGTTGTTATTAAGCGCCGCTAGTTAACAATTACCACTACCACGGTTAAGATTAATATCGTGCATTTAATAATTACCTACGATTTAGTGCAACAGTTAAATGATTTAGTTTAAAAATAATACATGATGAATTAGAATTTCTCCAACGAACCATATTTTAGAATCAAACTCACAATATGTGCGCCCTATTCTAAGTTGTAGCTCGTTAGAAATTAAGCAGTTACTTTAACAGTTAACGACCATTTTTCTCAGTGTACATATAAATATGATACTGGGATAATTACATTAATTAGCAGTAAACTAAGTCAGCGGCGGATTTAACGGGCGGCAAATGCGCTGTTGCCGCCTGGCCCCCCCCAATAGAAGGCTCCAGATAAAATGTTATAATTTGTTTAAGCATGAATTTTAGTTAGGGGACATCCATTAATTACGTGAGGCATTTTTCTGATAATTTGGACCACTCCCTCCCCCTTGGTGAGATTTGGTGAGATGTGTTAGACCCCCCCCTACCCCTCAGTGAGATTCTAGCCATTAAACTTTCTTTGCGGACAACATGGTAAACCCAAAAAATAAAAATTGATTACTTTTTTTTGACAAATTTGAATTATAATACATATTCTTTAAACCCAAAAGTCCCCCCCTCCCTTAACATGAGATTTGGTGAGATTTTGCTATACCCCTCCCCCCTATTTTTATCTCACGTAATTAATGGATGTCCTCTTATCTTTAAAACTTTGCCGACTGGGCCTTTTTTATTAAATCCGTCACTGAACTAAATTAAAAAAATCTGTTTTTCACAAGAAAAAAAATCAAGAATCCCACAAGAAACAAATTTGGTTTTGGTTCTTGTACAGTTGTATACATTAAAAAAGCGTACAAGAATTAGAATGAGAAACAACTGTCACCGTAATAGAATAGAATAGAGGTTTGTTAAAGTAATAAAAATTACATTAAACGTCAAATAAACAGGTGTACAGGTTGGTATATAGTAGATAAGTATAAGATATAAGTATAAGATATAGTAGATATAAATACAAAAAAAATATATTACAAATATAAACAGGTAAGTAAACAATCAAAGAGTTTATAAACTAACAAATTATAAACATATATACATTAAACAAAAATGCTTTAATAGTATTGCTTAAAACCGGCTTATCACTGAAGAGGTTATTTTCTTTTACCTTTGAACAGTTTTAAGACATTTTAAGCGTTCCGGTTCCCTTTACTAACCTGGTATGGGGCTATAAAATAATGACAAAATATTAAGTAGGTGTTGCGTCGCCGACGTTATGTTGACAACGCTTTGTTGCTATGGTATTTTTGGTAATACAAACATAACAGTTGTTATAAGCTGTCAGAAAGTTTATCATAAATTTGAAATTCTTCCTACGTTTTAAAAATGACTTCTAACGAAGAAGACCTGCCGCAAGATCTTGCTGAAGAGGCAAGAATAGTTGCAATTAATTTCCTTCCTTAAAAATCGAAAGGGCAATATGAAAATGAATATAGTTTGTTCAAAGAATGATTGGACAAGCGCGGAGTAAATCTTTTTCCTACAAAATCAAATAGGGCTAGACAAGGTAAAAAACTCTTTTTAATGTAAAATTGTTTAAAAAAAAGAGGAAGGAAAATAGGCATTTTCCTCCCTCGCTCGGGGGTGGAAAATTAAGTTTTCCAGTAAGGTAGTGAAAAAATATTGATAGTGCTTTTATGACAAACAATAATAGAGTAATTTATTAGGTTAAATAATATTTTACATTTTATTGTTATTTATAGAAATGGCTTTTAAATTATAATTACAGACCGACCTATAACGTACCTACTTCCCATTAATAAACATATTATTAAAATTATAATTATTATGTCAAAAATACCTATATTTACTAGATATGCTGTATCTTCTTTTAGTCATTGAATACGCCTACGAAACATGCGTAAGATGCAAAATCTTTAAATTTTATTTAATTAATCCCCGACGTCAATGCTCTGCTTTTTAATAACCTATAATAATTATTATAATGACTTGTCAGTGATACCATAGATAACAAAGCCTTGAGTGATACGCCGCAAGGCTTTAAAGCCTTAACAATTGTTATCTATTATTCGACGATTTTAAGCAATATACCTATAAAATTCGCCGTAAATTTTCGGCATTATAGCATTTTCTTTAAACTATAATTTATACATGATAATTTATTTAATTTGTAGTTCAATATACTATAGTCGATTTTTTTATTACTAAAGTGACTATAGTAATAAAAATCGACATTTTTTAATATCAGAAGTACGAAATACGGACATAAAATAAGTAAACAGTGGTATTTAAATTTTATTGCTCATGTAGATTTAAATGTATTAGAAGGCCAAATGGACCCCATTTGTTGATTTCCCGATGTTTTTAGGGTCAAAATTTTCTGCGCTTTCCGTATTTTCCACAATTTTCCTCGATTACGACTAACATTCAAATGGATGACGTTTTACCCTTTTAGTTCACGCTTCAAAAACCCCGTTTCATTATGCTGATTAAATTTATTTTTATGCTTTTCTGTATGCACAAAGGGAATGTTCTATTTGAATTTTATTGAAGAAAAAAAAAACATTTATGTCGACATATAAATATTAAGTCCATCTAACAATGCCCGATTATTTAGGAATAAAAAAGAAACATTTTTAAAGCATTAAAAAATATTCCCCCAACAATTTTTTTAAATACCTCTATAAAAGCAAATTAAAATCCTAATTATATATGTATAGAAAAAAAAAATATATATATATATACATATGTACATTTATGTATTAATGGTTTTTCGGGATCTGCTCCGTGTTGTCGGTTTTTGGTTCTTAAAAGAACCGTATGTCTGACGACGTCTCGTGGCGTTTTGGTGGTTGTAAAAGCTGGTTTCCATGCAGTTGGTAGTCTCTGTGTATAGTCTCCTGTGTTGAGGTTTCTTGGACGTTTTTTGGACCTTGTTTTTTCAAAGTGAATTTGGTGGGAAGTTTTTCAGACGTGTTTAGCTAAGGAAGATGTTTTTCTTGTTTTAAGACTGCGTTACGATGTTCTTCGCGTCGAACGTTGATACGTCTATTGGTCTGTCCCACGTAGCTTCCGTCACCGTCACAATTCTTACAAGGAATTTCTTAAACCCCTTGTGCCTTCAACTCTATTTTTGGTTTGGCGTTTAGAAGTATTTGACCGATCTTTCTTGGGGCGGTAAATGTGGTCTCAATGTTATGTTTTTTGAGAACTTTGCCTATTCTTTCGAATGTTCCTTTGACGAATTTTCGATGAATTTCAATCACAAATAATTTTTTATATGTTTTCCGATTTAAACAAATATTAAAGAAAATTGTAGATAAATTAATGGAAAATTGCTCACATTTTAAAAAATTACTAAAAAATGAATGTACGTTTATAATATACAGTAGTGATGCCGCGAGACGAGACGAGACGAGAAAAGTCCTTCTCTCGTCTCGTCTCGTGCAGCGAGAGAAAATGGGTCTCTCGTCTCGTCGAGAATACTCTTTTCTCGCTCGAGAGTGCCTTTCTCTCGTCTCGTCTCGTTTCTCTCGTGGTAAAAGTACCTAAGTATGAATACAAAAATTATTTGGAATGAAATACGAATTCGTTTATATTTTTTTTCTACTCCTATTACGGAATTTGACCGTTAACGCGTTCTAATATCACTTTTATCTATGAAATGACATATATTCCGTAAAGTGTTACAGAATAAAATATTTTATCATCGGATGACAGAATAAACACTCGTGGCGACATCTCTGTTTTTAATATCTAACAAACTTTAGACCGATCCAACCTCACTTTCTTCCAATTAAATTATTTTTTTATGGTATTTTTTGGAAACGTAGAAAAAGTATAATATACTATTATATAGAAATTTAAACTGGAAATAAAAAAAAATATGTGCCAAGACCACACTAATAAAGTAAAACTTTTTACGCCGAAAATGTTGCGCATTTGAATCAAATGGTTGGATCTATGTGGAGTAGTTGCATCTAGTATTATACACCTATAATAGGTGTTTCTTTTAACTTGAGACAGCTCAATATCTCGTGAAATACGCATTTCACAGAAAAATGTCTTAAATAAAAGGTTAAAACGTTTCAAATAATACATTTTACAGGGAAACCCATTTTTCTTAAATTTTGAATTACAGCGCCATCTGTTGATAAATTGAAAAAAGTTTCAAATAAAAGTTATTCATTTTTTTATGTACTACCAAAATCTGTGAAAAAATCGGGTCATTTCATTTGACTTTCTAAAGTTATGTAAAAAAAATTGTTTTTTATAATCGAGAGAACGAGAGAGATCGAGAGAAACGAGAAATTCTCGAGCGAGAGGGCATTCTCTCGTCTCGTCTCGAGCCTTTTTTCGAGAGAAAATCGCCCTCTCGTCTCGTCGAGACGAGACGAGACAAGACGAGAGGCGAGAATCTCTCGTATCGGCGGCATCACTAATATACAGGTTTAAACAAAAAGAAGTTTTTTACCATAAGTTTAGGACACTCTGTAGAGTGGCTAAACCGTATATTGTTCTAAATTAAGTTTTAATTATCAAGTCACATCTATTCTTAACAGTTTTTTTTGGTTCACCTCGATATATTTAATTTTTGTGAAAAATATGTATTTAAAAAAAAACATTGCAATTTCCAATATTTTTTTGTACGAAGAACTAAGGTTGCTATATTCCATCCATAGGCTATGGAGCATGACAGTGACAGTTTTGTTGAATCATCCCATACTTGGACATGTCATATATGGCTTTCTTAAGCTATCAAATTGTTTTTTGCAAAATAATGTTTTACTTTTGAGGTGTCTTCTTAATTTTAAAAATGGATATGTCCCCGACTGATGTTGCCAGAGCCATTGATTTAATTCAGGATGGACGGTCACAGTATTACGTGGCAAGTTTTTTAAACGTCACAAGAAGTAAAGTACAAAGGCCAACATCAGTCGGAGACATATCCATTTTTAAAAGTAAGAAGATACCTCAAAATTAACACATTAATTTACAAAAAACAATTTGATAGCTTTTGAAAGCCGTATATGACATGTCCAAGTATGGGATGATTCAACAAAACTGTCACTGTTATCCTACAAAGGCCATGGATGAACCATAGCAACCTTAGTTCTTCGCACAGAAAAAATATTGGAAATTGCAATGTTTTTTTTGAAATCCATATTTTCCACAAAAATAAATATATCAAGGTGAACCAAAAACAAAACTGTTAAAAATTGATGTGACTTGATAATTAAAACTTAATTTAGAACAATATACGGTTTTGCCACTACAGAGTGTCTTAAACTTTTGGTAAAAACATATTTTTGTTTAAACATGTATATTATAAACGTACGTCTATTTTTTTGTAATTTTTAAAATGTGGGCGATTCTCCATTAATGTATCTACAATATTCTTTAATATTTGTTTAAATCCGAAAACATATAAAAAAATTATTTGCAATTGAAATTCATCGAAAATTCGTGTGGATCGATTATTTTGCCTGTGAGTGTATATAGGGTGTCTCAGATTTTAATCGGAAAAAGTCGATAAAACACGCAAAAATAAATTAAGAAGAAAAGTTTTTATAGACTTGTATGTTGTAAAGCTTCGTTTTCGTGAAACATGGTAAAAATTTCCAAAAAAATTCTTAAAAATAATTATTACTTAATCAAAATAAGAGAAAAAATGCAGGAGACATAAAAGTTATATTTTCAATATCAAATTAATAAAAAAGCAGTGGCGTGACCATACATTTTTATTAACTTAAACACTCTGTTATACAGGGCATGTATCTTAAAAACAAAGCTTTAAAGCATCCGTGCATTGATTTACCATACAAGTTTATATAAACTTTTTTTCTTATTTTTGAGTTCTATTTACTATTAAATTTTCCCGAATTAAATCTGACACACCCTCTATAAAAATAAATAAATAAGATAAATACTATTTATTTATTAAATAGATAAAATTATTTTAAACGAATTAATGCACCCAACGCCATCTACAACTTTAACGCGCTATTATTAAAGTAGAGAAAACTGTATAAATCACCACAGTTCCAACATAACCCCATTTTAACCTTAAAATTAAAAAGTAATGTTTTGTAGAAAATTATTAAACAAAAACGCTATAAAATGTTCAGCGAAAAACCAAATAAGAAAATTAAAAAAGCATGATTATGCAATGCCAGAAGAAAAAACAACGGCTGAAGAAATATTAATACAAGTGTTTAAAACTAATGAAGTAAAAACCCAAAAAGACTGGAAAAAAGTTAGACAAGAAATTTTAAATAACCAATTCAATAAACATGTTATTACTCCTGTAAATATTGATTCTATGATTATAGGATTTTGTACAAAACCTGAAAAATATCAGCTAGCATCGAGTTACATAAAATTCTTGCAAAAAGAAAAAATAAAGCCTAATTTGGCAACAAACGGCAAATATTTAAAATTACTGTATGAAAAAAATACCGAAAAATGTTTGAAAGCAGATGAAAACGAAATTTTAGGGATTTACGAGGAGTTGCGAAAAGGTTACCCAGTTTTGGATTCATTCACGATAGAAAATTTAATTTTAGGACTTTCGGTAACCAAAGAGTGGAAGAAATGTTTGGAATTATTTGAAGAGATAAAAATCACAGCCATAGCAAATAATAGTGTTTATAGTGCATTTATTAGTTCAGCATTTTTAAATAATGAGGAAGACTTGGCATGGCAGTTTTTAAATGAATTAATAGGTAAATAACCCAGCAAAATTTGGCAATATGAAAAAAAAGTATACAGTGTGTTTTGTTATAAGCATTAAGGTGCCCACAGACTAGCAAACATGTGCATCATACATGTATGACATACACACTGGCAATCTTGATGCAAGTACATAACATGTGGATCGTTTACAGTCCAGCCAAAAAGTTTGTGTGGCATGCATGTTTGTGAACACCTTTAAGTTTTAAAAAACCTTGTTCAAGCTATAATTATCTAATATCTCTAGGAAAACTATAAAAACATTAAAATAAGAGACATGAGAGTTTATTTAAAAATTAATACTTTAAATTATCATAACTTTGTTATAATTAACAAAAGTAAAACTTTTTCTTATTAAGAAGTAGTGGAGAGGTGGGATACTTGAGCATAAGGGATAATTGATAACTTCTTAATATCCCATATTCACACCTTTATTTCCTTAATTTCCCATAAAATTACAAAAACATAAGTTTGACGACTTTGCGTCATGTCACTAAATTCCCATGAGACTTCAGTCGCTATTTTTAGTGATTCCCCAAAGTGTTGAAAGTAAATATTTTGTTTTTGCTTTTACAGTTTTTTTCAATATTTAATTATTTACTTTCCATACTCATAAATAGTCGTCTATCAAAAACATGGATATTAATATTGATTTATGTTATATTATTAAAGATGTTTACAACTTTGGTTAGACTTGCAAAATAAGTTTGTTTGTACATGTGCGCCCCCCGCGAGCAATCGACGTGGTGGGATAGTTGTTACAAATGATATTTTAAGACCAGAAATCTAGGATAAAAATCACGTGGGTAGTGATTGAATAAAGGATTCATGAAGCGCAATCTTTATCCCTCAGGAAACTAGTTTAAGCAGGGCCATCAGTTTTAATAAAAAGAAAGTAGGGGACTTTTTTTTAAATTTTATAAGAGAAATTAATAGAGGTTTTCAGAAGATGACATTTGGAACATAGATGAAACTGGATATACAACAGTGAAAAAAGCAAAGAAGGTGGTAGCTCCAAGAGGGAAAACATATTGCCATTTTATTTTAATGATTAAGTATCCCAGGCCCCTAATCATGTAACCCCACATCAGGATACTTGATCAAAATGCCTTGATGCCTTTAAATCAATTTTAGCCATGTAGTTTTGTTTTATATTAAAGTTTATTTACATAAAATTAATAACAAAACAGTTCACACTTTACATTTAATAGAATATCCTTATCATTCATAAATATGTTATTCTAAAAAAGTAAAACTATACTTAAGTATCCCACTTATCAACAAAAATCTCAAATGTAATATTTTTCAGTCTTAGGGTCTTAGGTTATTTGTTTTACGTAATTTTAATCTATAACCTCACATATATATATATATATGTTATATAATGTTATTAGAATGAAAGCAAATAAAGGTTTCGGTTCCGGTCCAACAGATTTTATCAAAGCGAAAACGGTTCCGGTTCGGGTTTCGGTTCGGAAAAAAAAACCGGTTCCGTTCCGGTTTTCGGTTTTTTTCGGTTTCGGTCCGGGTCCCTGATTAAAACAAAAAAAATTATGGTATAGTTTTTATAAAAATAAGGTTTTCATATTACCATTTTCTTTAATAATTATTATATTCTTTAAAATAATACAAAAACAATTCTTTTAGAGAATAATAGGACTCCAAAATCAATCATTTTTACATCATATTTAGCAACAGCAAAAAAATTAAAATCAAAGGAAAAAATACATGCAAAATTGGAAAAAATGTTTGAATTCCTAAAAAATAACGATTTACGTCTAGAAAAAACTGCCATAGAAAAACTAGAAGAACTATCGACAAGTTTAAAAGTCTCTACTATGACAACAAAAGTAGACTTTAAAGGAACATGTAAAAACTGCAGGCAAAATTTGGACACCTTTGAACTAACAAATGAAGAATTTCAAGAACTAAAAGACGTTTTATTTAAAAACGTTATTTTAGGAAGGGATATTTTTGTTAAAACAAGTCCACAGGAGATGTCAAATTTTCAAAATTTCATATTGCAACAAGAAAAATTTGACGTAGTTCTTGATGGTTTAAACATTGCTTTTTCTGTGGGAACTAAACATCCTCCCCATGTGTTTTCGACGTTATTAGCAAATGTTGTAAAATATTTTGTGGATCTAAACAAAAGAGTTTTAGTATTAGGTAAGAATATACCATTAAATGGTAAATTTTATGTAATATATTTTATTAGATACTATAGTTTAGCAATAACAAATGTAACGTTGTCATTTTTTTAAGGGCGTGTACACATGCACAGATGGCCACAACAGACATGGGGTTATGTAAAAAGTAACTCTACGATTTTTTTAACGCAAAATATCTCAGAAGATGATCCTTATTTACTGTACTGTGCATTAAATTCAGGGAAAAATACAAAAATTGTTACTAGGGACTTGATGAGGGGACACAAATTTTTACTAAAAAGTCCCAAATATAAGACATTATTTAACAGGTATTATTTTTAAATTCAAAACGTTTCTGCAGATTTAGAACTTGCATTTACCGTTCTCGAGATATTTGAAAAAAATAGAGACCCGTATGAAAAAATAATATTGTGACGTCAAAGTCAAATCGTAAGCATCGCCGGCATCTGCATAATTCGGTATACCTAATTAACAAATAATAAACTTAAAGCTACATTTTCAATCAACTCAGAAGCTAGCTTTAGAGTGTGTCGCACACGTAGAGTGGCTATTTTCAACTTTTTTTAAATGTCATATTAGGTATATTATATCTATAACACCTATATGCACTGTAAATAAACTATGACATGCTATGTTTTTTATGTCTTTTAAATCAATACGCTAAAGAAGTAGATACTTATCACTAACATAAGTTATTAAAATAATTAGTATAGGTAATAAAGAGCATTGACGTCGTAGGTTAATTAAATAAAATTACAAAAATTATTATTAGAAATGAAAAAAACAAACATTTAATATTTAGTCATGCATCCCTATTATTCTATTACTTGAGCCAATCTATCTGTGATTGACTAAATTAAATTTAATACAATATTTGGATTAATATCAGGAGTCATGTATAGTTTCCAATAAATCCTCCGAATTTTGAGGTCTGTAATTTCGTTGATACATTTTTTTTACAATCAAATCCTAAATATTTTCGATTGGATTAATATCGGGACTATAAGCAGCCCAGGGCAGCACTTCTACATTATGGGTTTGAAACCAGTGGGTAACAGAATTGGCAGTGTTTACTGGACAATTATCCTGCTGAAATATTATTCGGATATATTTGTTGGGCAGATGGTAGCAGTATGTTCTCCAAAATATTTACAAAATTTCGACACTAAACCTTCCCTCTATTCGCCAACAAACATCAGGTCTATAAACACTTATCCAGCCCCACAGGTTCACAGAGAAATGGCCATGTTTAGAAGCAAGGTGGTTGGTATGCCGTTCTTCAAACCTAGTATTATCGCCGTTATAAGTTGACTAAAGGTCTTTTCGTTAGTGAAAATTACCCTGCTACAAAATTGGGAATTGCGGTATATGTAATTTAATGCAAACAAGCCTTCCCTATTGTAAATGACCAATAGAATCCAATAAAAAATAAGTAATTGGTTTGAATTTGTTTGAAATGTATTTTGGCGCTATGAATGACCAATTCATTCCAGTTGAATTCCTATTGGTAATTTCCAATGAAGTCAGCGGCTTGGATTGGGAAATACCAATCCATGCCTATGCTTGTCTCTATTGGCTAAATCCAATAGAAATACACATGGAATGAATTGGTAATTTATAGCGCCAAACCCATTCCAACCAATTAAAACCAATTAATGTTTTAAAATTTGGATTAGAAAATACCTACCAGTTTATTTTTCATTCAAAAATAATTTTAGATCCCAGAAGGATAACCGGGTAAAAACCAGAACTCATTTTTCACAGAAGAGACAAAAAATTTATTGTTACTGAGTAATTTTCGAGGTAATTTTATTTCTTTATTATTTTTTTGTGATATATGTATGTATTGATACATACAGCCTGTTCAGAATAAAACCGAATATATCTATATATATATATGGGGCGTGGCCTCGCCTCCCAAAAAATCTCATCACAAAAAAAGTAATTAAAAATAAATAAAATTACTCGGTTATAATCATTTTTTTGTCTTTCTTGCAAAGGATGTTTGTAGGTCGGTTGTGGTCGAAGTCGATATTGTTTTTGTCAATTTTTTTTATTTTGTCCGCTGTGACAACCATTCTTACGCCATCGTCCCTAAACATTACACATATAAACATTTTTTTAATATATAAGTACACTACTAACACTAGGCACTTAACAAAGAAATCGACTAATAAAAAAAACCGCTAATAAATGGCGTCCAAAGACTTGTTGTTTTTTCTTTATGATGGCGTCTCAACCTCGTTGATTTTGCGCAGCTACACGAGAGCCCTCTTGCGATAGTTGTATTGTATTGGGAATAACCAATTAGCAGATTTTTCGAATTTTACACTGGGAATGCCCAATTGAATTTAATTGGAAATTACCTATAGGTAGCTTTATCCAATCGAAACCAATAAAAACCATTAGAATCCTAATTGGACTTTTCCATCATGAAAAATACCAGTAAAAACCAATTTCTATTTTATATCGTGCCCAATTAAATCCAGTCCAATTCAGACCCATTGATACCAACCAATATTTCAATTGGTTTCCACAGGAATTAATCGGTCATTTACAACAGGGTTGATTGTTCTCGTTCTTCTGTAAGAGTTTTTTTTGCAGCTGGTCTATTTTTTAGTTCAGATTTCTTGACCCTTCTGCTGGAGGTAGGTTGAAAGCCTTGAAATTCTGTATCAAAAACAGCATCCCTCGCAAATGAATTATTTCTTAAATATCCCAAAAAAGCAGCATCCTGCTCAGCGGTGGACAGTTTGGGATGACCTTAACCAACTTTTCGGTTTAGTAATTCTTCCTGTTCCCAGCGTTGCTTAATTTTTTATATCTATAGTTCTTTTATTACTATTGGACAACTGCACTACAGCACAAATTGAACATCCTTCTTCGATTTTTGATACTATTTGAGCCTTTTCAACTTGAGATAACTGACGAGGTATTTTTATTTTCTACTGTCAGATATAGTGACTTAAGTCAGTGGAAAGCCGGTTTTACGCAATAATGTTGACAGTTTTCTTTCATTCTAATCCATAGATAATAAAATATAGATTAAATTCTTGTACGCTTTTTAAATGAATACAAATGTATCTTATTAGGAAATAAGTAAATAAATTCATTGTTTCAAAATGGTATACCATGGTATATCGAAATTGGAAAAATTATTTGAAATTTAAAGTGTTTCAACATCCCTTATTGCAAAATTGAGGAAAAAACGTGTACTAACATTGAAATTGGCGGATCTGAAAAGGGCAACTATAGTTTAAACAAATTATTAGTTATGATTTAAATGTTTGATCGGATGGTTTTTAGGGCTCCTCATTTCAAAATGTAAATAATTCAAGAATTCATATCAGATCTAAAATTGCCAAATGGTAAACTTTGAGGTTATGGATCGTGCATTAAAAAAAAAGTGACCCAAAGAGCTTTAGGAAGGTTTGTTTTTTGGATACCCGAGTGTTTAATTAACTCGTTTTATAGTAAATCAAGGTTGCTGAATCTGATTTTGACAAAATTTTTTACTAAAAGGGCCTTAGGAAATTTTTGGTTTTCGGATACGCCAGTTTTTGACAACATTTTTGACCTAAACTTTAGGCTAAAGGGTTTTAGAAAATTTTGATTCCCGGATATTGGAGTGGCAATTTACTTAAAATAAATTATATATTATGGTAAATTAAGGTTGCTGAATCCGATTTTTACAACATTTTTAAACAAAGGGCCTTGGGAAAGTTTGGTTTTTGGATACCCAAGTGACCAATCGTTATAGTAAATCTAGGTCGCTGAATCAGTGTTTGATACTATTTTGGTCCTAAAGGGCATTACATTGTTTTGTATAAACTTGAAAAAAATAATAATAAAATATATCAATCAACAACACAAATTTAATAACTACTCTTCTTCAGAAGTTTCACTTCAAAAGTGTGCATAAAAATAAAGGTGAGGCACACATTTTTTTCTAAATATCTCATCAATGGTAAATCAAATTTAAAAATACTGAAAACAACACTAAAACCGTTAAATTTAAGGTGGTTAACACAAAGACAATACCAATTATTAAGAATAGACCAAAGAGGACAACCGATTTTTAAACATCCACTGCCCATAAGTCCAGTAGCCCAGAAAAATGGGACACATTGGCATTTACCATATGATGAAGTGGAAAATAATAAAAACGAATATTTGAACAGTTGGTGTTGTTTGCAGCTAATGAAATAAAATTTTGAACATTTTTAGGTTTGTTTTACTTGGACTTACCTGTAATCTTGCGTTAAGCAAATCAATGACAGGTGTCAAGCGGTTTGATAAAATAACGTATTCGCAATTTTTGGCCCCAGTTGCACCCTTACAAGCAATTTGCCATAAATTGCATGCAATAATCAGAGACCTGAAAATAAAAAAAAACAATGATTTACCAAAAATATTAAAACTAATAAGAATATAATTTTTATTTTGTTCACATCATCTTTGCATTTCACATATTTTTTGAAGTGAAACATCTTAAGCGACATGTAAGTAGTAAGAAAAATATAAGCGTTTATTAGGAGAGCATGAAGTCTCAGAGGTAAGTCACGTTAATGTGTGCGTGTTTTGCAAATAAACATCGAAGATTGGTTTTAAGTAGTAGAATATTTCTATTTTCAAAATTATAAATATTTTCAAAATTACAAACAGTTATTATTCATGAACTAATTAGTAACTAGTCAGTATCTAATCAGTAACTAGTAAGTAACTAATCAGTAACTAGGAAATTTTTTATAAATTTGTAACAGAAAATATTAAAATATGTAAAACATAAGACTCAACTTCTATCATCTCCTTCAGAAGTTCACTTCAATAGTGTGCAGATGGAGCACGCACAATTTTTTTTTAGTTCTTGGGATAGTTTTTGAACATACTTTTTTAAAGTTTTAAAAATAGTTTATTGGACTAAAATATATAATTTTGTATTAGGATCTGTCCTAAGGGGGGGTCACGCCGCACTGTGGTCCAAAAGCCCAAAAACATGGTCAAAATATGAAGGTTTATGACTATCTTTACCAAAACATGGACTTAAGGGTTTTTGGGATTACGAATTTTATATCCATTTTTTCAAAACCAAAATGACGGACATTTTACAAAAATAAATTCTGATATCGCTCAAATTTGGCAATATGGGTCGCTGATATCAAAGTTGATATTAATTTTTCCAAAAGTAAAATGGCGAATCAAATATGGCGGCCATTAAAAAAAATCTGATATCGCTAGTAAATAATATTTAATTACCGACCAGGCGTCAAGGGGTTAAAATATAAATATATTAACAATGTAATAATAATTGAAATATTCATTAAAGTCCTAATACCTGTACTAAACTCTACTTAAGATTTTTTGCCTGACATAAATATCAAATTATCTTAATAAACCACCAATTTCACTAAATATGGTCATAAGATAGTACAGGGTTGGGCACAGTAACCAAGTGTAATTTTTGCCCTAAAAATATAAGCTTTCACTTATACAGGCTTTTCTGTTTATTAATGTGGTTACCTTGTAACGAAGTTACTTTTTCCCTGTCCCTACCATGTGTCGTTAAAACCCGGGCCAATGATATTAATTCATTTAAAACCCCGGAATAGCCCATATGATGAAATACCACAGGAATGACTCATATAGTAGTCTACCCTAGCAAAAAAAAAATAGCCCGATTGTTTATTCGAACAATGCGCAACACTCCAATCCCTGTTTTTGTAAAACCAAAAAGCATACATCTACAGCCAAAAGAAAGAATATGCAACGACGCCGACCTTTAACGCTATTGGTTAGAAATGCTGTCACGCTGAGTCGCGCGCTTTCTGCCGTAGGTGGGAAACAAGAGTCCATAAAAGAGAATGCAAGCGCTCCGAGAAGGGATTCTGAAACAATAACTCTTGCCCAGCCGACCAACATTAAAGCAAATCGTGACCAGATAACCGCTGTAAGTTGTTTTCAACTACTCACAGGGCCGGATTTACGAATTTGCCGCCCATGGTCCCCGAATAACGAATGACTCAGCGAATAAGCTAGAGTCGCGCCCCACTCGCCTCGTGTACCTACATCGACTGCCGCCCTTCTACGCAGTGACGCACTACGCAGAATAATAGTGTAGTCTGATATAAAATTATCTAATGTATTAAAAAACTTCTCTTCCAAGTTTTTATAGATTTAATTAGTGTATAAATCTAAGTGAAAACAAAAATTCTGCATAAACCGCTCTTGATTTTTTAGCAAAATTTTAACTGGCCTTAAAACTTTGCCGCCGCTAAAAATTTGCCGCCCTGGGCCCGGGCCCATGTGGCCCATGCCTAAATCCGGCCCTGACTACTCATAAATAAGCGACTTTGATTTCGGACGTGCTGCCAAACTACGCGGCTCGGCTCTTGCCCATAGAAAAATCCTGTAAAAGGTAGCCTGCAATACGCATATAGACCCCCAGAATTATCCTGTAAAAGGTACCCTGCGATACGCATATAAACCCCGAAATACCCGGTAAAACGTACCCTGGAATACACGCTACAAACGTAGAAACACCCCGTAAACCAGCGACTCCGTAATCACATTTTGTCTGTTTCAGAAGTATAAAAGCTCATTTACATCCACTTAATAAGCGTAACTTAACTTAACTTAACTTACTGTTAATTTCTATTTTATTTATTTATACCGTATACTGAGTGTTCAGTTTCGGTTTTATAATTTATGTTATTCATTTTATAAGTATATTGTGTTAATTATTTCATTATTATTGCCTTAAACTCACGTTAAACCATATTTTATACTGAGTGTTCCGAGTCTTGTTTATTTAATTTATTTATTGTTTTGTATATACGAGGTTTTTATTTTAATATACATATGTATTAACCGAACCATCCTCTTTATTTATCAATACCACTGAACCCTGATTATTTATCCACTGTTTACCTTAAAAGCTAACCCCGCATACGGTGGAACTTCAACCACCTAAACTATTGAAGTTGGCGCCCGAGGTTTTATTAGTAAATCCGCAAGGTAAGTGACGCCAAGTTTGAAGAAAAGTTTCCTTTGGGAAAATAAAAAGCTTCATTACAACCTAGTAACATACCCACAGGGCTTTTATCACACAAAGAAGTATGCCAAAGCTGTATTAGGGGTTTTAGCAGCTAATTTTTAATTTTTGTCGGAGAGCTCGTATGCCCCCCACTAATTATCTTAAACAATCCCAGGGGTACCACTACAACTATTTTAAATGGATTTTTTTTTATTACAAGGGAAAAGTTGACGTGTAAACAGTGCAGTTCCTAATAGAGTGAACAGGATTAGAAAATACATGTACTATGCTCCACACAACAAAGTCCCACCTTGGACTATGATAGAAATATTAAAGGTACATTTTCAGTCAGTGTCAAGCTAATTTCATCCTATTTTCGAAAAATATTGCAATATATGTATTTTTTGTGTATAAAGGTCCTAATTCAGAATACAAAAATATTATTATTAGTATTATTATTATTATTAGTATTATTTTTAGAAAATAGGACGAAATTAGCTTGGCACTGACAGAAAATTAACCTTAAGTATTTCTATATAGTTGGTTTGTTCTGTGTGACATCTAAAATGGCATCTACTTTAAAAGGGATAAAGTAAAGGTTTCTGTTACGCAGTTTGGTTCGCGCAAAGTGACTTGTATTTTTTTAATACTGTTTACTATAGAAACTCATTTATTACAATACTAAAAACAATCCATTCAATATTTGAATTATTGAGAATGAAGAACGTTTTCACTTTGTGTCAATTCCAAAAAGAAGTTTGTTTGTGCTATAAAAGGATGTAATTTACTTTATTTACTAAAAATATAAATGTCTTTGAAATTATGATTATTTTAAGTAGATTGGTACACAAGTGGAGCGTTACTACACGCATATACTCCGCGAACTTCAATTGCCTCTCCTGTAAAATTTTATTTTTAGACCTAGACCTATACATTTCAGTTCGGTTCCAGCGCTTCAGAAGACACGTCGCGTGCGGGTAAGCTCTTGAAGCGTAAGAGTTTAAAGATAAAACCAACAATAATTATAAAAAAAGTGCAAACTAATAAGTGAAACAGACATTTTCATAGAGTGCAAACTAAAATGGTGTAACGGTCATTGAGGAGTGAAGTGTTGAGTGATATGAATGAGTTAAGTGCCACCTGTCATTGGAGGCTTTTCACTGGACGGACAGGGGAGGTCAAGCAAGAGGTGGCCATCCGCAAAAAAAAAAGCTGATAAGTTACTTTGAGAATATGCATGACCTGATACAAATCTGCAATTTAAATACGGCAGATCCCAGCAAACATTTTCCGTTATTTGTCACCATTAACATTGCCCGTTATTCATTTTATTAAACATAACATTTATTTACTTAAAAATGTTAAAATAACTTTAAAATATGATTATGTTAAGAACATATTTTACTCTTTAAACAATTGTTTTGTTTTTAATTACTATCATTTCAAAATTGTATTAAAAAGTATTAAAAATTCTTACACGGGCAATGTTGGTGGTGATAGGTACCGTTAAAGTGTTTATTGGGATATCTTTAAAACCTACGAAAGGCACACGGAATGGGGCAATAGATCTGTCAACAACAAATGCGTAAGGCAATCCCAATCGAGACCAAATTTGGCTAATGCTTCTCATAAATACTCGTAGAAAAAATAAGTAAACTTAAGGAAGTAACAAGAATATATTTAGACATGTTTTTGATGTGTCCTGTCCATGGGCTTGGAATGGCCGCATTAAAAAAAAAGCCTAATAGCCAAACTCGAGATTTGTAAACATTGGACAACAGATAATCGCGCTTATAATTTGTTTAACTAATAAATAAATGCAATGCTTAATTTTGGAAATTAATAATAAAAGACAAAACTCTATCACAAAACGTGCTTGTGACAAAATTTATTAAAAACAACTGACACACTTTACCAAGTGCAGGAACTATCTGACCAGGACACGGACAATGACAATAACGAACAAGACAAAGACCTCGACTAGGAAACTACACCCCTGCAGCGAAATAACAACTCCCCAACTCCAAATAGTAATCCCAAATGTTTGGAGTAATACTAATCGACTGGTCTAGGGGGATTCCGCGTCGTACTTAGTTTTAAGTCGGCGTAATTGTCCCCCAAAAACCAACACCTTCCCGTCCCTCCTCCATACCCACTGAGCGTATAGCATAGGCTCGGCGAACCCGGGAACGGCTATTAAAACTATTCGCCTCTCGCTCTCGAGCCCCATATAGGGGACAGTACGGAACGCAATGGACATTCGCACCCAGCAAACACGGGTGAAGCCGTGCAGTTGCTGGGGAAGAAAAAAATCGGCGTAAGTAAACATAGGCCTGTACGGGGTTCGAGAGTCAAGAGGAAATGGGGCTGGTTATACGTCTCTTATACTCATACTCATAGACCTATACATTTCATTCCTGTAGTAAACAATAATCAATAATAGTACATTATAGACCAGACCGAGAAAGCTATATGGTATATCCTGAAAGCCGAACATATTATAAAAAAAAATAGCAGGCAAACGTAGTGAGCTACGGCATATTGCTTAAAAAACGTCGTCATTTTTAGGTATTTTATATTGAAAAAATGACACAACAATATTGTGAAATAAACAATCCAAAAAATAGTACCCAAAAGTCGCATAAAATTTATGTTAATGTTCTCAATTTTTATACTTACTTCACCGAAATAGCTGCGTTGCCGTCTTGGGCCAACCCGAGCATTTTGCCCAGCACTCCGAACCCGCCAACCGTCTGAAACATGGCAACGTCGCTCGGCGCGCCCTTCGTCAGCAGTCGCGAGAGTTCGTTGAGGATGCGATCCAATTGGCTGGTGGTGGAGGGCGAGAGGCCCTGATTGGCCTGGTTCGCTATGCTGCCTATGGTGTTCACGTTCCGATTCAGCGTGCGCTTGTTCGCGCACTCGACGCCAGATGGCTTGTAGGCGGTTTCGAACTCAGCACCTATGAAACGAGAATGTAGAAAGTTACATATTGCATTTTGTAAATAATACATATAAGTGCCACTCGTCACTCATATTCAAACTTGCCGTGATTTTCTGAGCCCATGATAGGCAACCCGATTGGATGTATTATAATAGGCATTGTCTGTCATGATACAACAAATCTGGGTTGCCTAATAATAATAATAATAATAGGCTATTACAACAAATTACGGTTCCCTATCATGGGCTGAAAGTGGCGCAGAAAATCGAGCAGTAAGTGGCGGCAAGTAAATGCACACGTGTTATTTAGGTATTTACTTTATTTTGTCAATTTGAGTGTTTAAAAACTGTGTAGTGTAAAAGTTCTTTTTTGCAAACTGAGTAAACATATAAGTGAAATTTATAAATAATATATAATTATTAAGCAAATATTTTATTCTTGTAATAAAGTAAATAATAAAACTGTTGCTTTATTTCTAACACTCGCAAAACATTCCTATAAATTTTTGCAAATGCGAATCTCAAAACTCGTGCGAATATTCGTAACATCACCAATACATATACCGCATTTTCATTTGAAATATATACACTCGAGTGAACCCGATCGCCCCTCACCATTGTAAGCGGATTGCGACGATTCATATTTCATATTTTGCATTTGCTAGTGTGAATTTCGAGCGTTTTAAAATAAATTAATTTCTTTTATTTAAAATTATAAGTTATAATGTTCCACACATTGCAAGAGGTCCTTAGTGGGCAATTCTCTACGTCAAACAAGAGACCTATTCTCAGTTAAATATCCGGATCGTTCTATTCCGTCGATTAGAACAATAACAAACATTTTTAATAATTTACTGTTAAAAGTGATTACCTACGTTACATTTTAAGTATCTGAATCATTTTCAAAAGTAAATTAACTTAATAATGCGTAATTCGTATTAATAATTCAGAGCAAACTTCGACTATAGTTTGGTTTTTTAATCATGACCCTCACGTGACATATGTAAGGATATAGCTCACATTCGTATTGTATTTCCACGCCGCAGGACCACTGGGACGTAGCATATAGCGATAGATACGATAGATGTCTAATACGTATGTCTAATAATACCACAACATACGTTCTTTATGTTTATATTTTTATAATAATGGGATCGACAAAGATAGCTAAATGCACAAATGTCTACAAAACTTTGACAGCCTGTCATCATTGGTGTACTTGAATTTTTTAATATTTTCCATAATTTACGTATTTGAGTAATTCTTTTATAAACCGAACACCTTTTGACCGACACATCTCAGATTTGGCTGAAACTTTTTTTACGGATTTTATGTCGAAAAATAAGAGATACGTGTCCGAGGAATTTTTTTTCTCTCGCATATTTTCGATAATACAAGCTATCGAAAATTTGAGAATAACGAGTTTTTTGGCTTGGAGACTCATTTTCAAAAATTTATAACTCTGGTTCTATTTGAGCTACAAGCTTCTTTTTTTTTCATTTTAAAGCTAAAGGACTGAGTTTTTATAAAAAAATATTTTTAATAAATATTATTAACAAATTCATATTGTTATTAACAATTTCATGGTTTAAATCAATTTTTAACAATGGCCCCCACCTCGTATTAAGTTTTTAGTATTTTTATCGTATTCTCCATCAAATTTTACATAAAAAAACATATTTTCAAAATATGGTACCTTTATTATTACTATTGTTAAAACATTAATTTGTATTGCGCGACACATAAAAAACGGTTTTTTGTTAATATAAAGAAAACTATAGCTCGGATGAAAAAAAGTCATATATAAAAGTTGTAGATAATAAAAAGATATACAATTTTTATTTTAACTATTTTTTGACATAACCTCACTTTTCAAATAAATTGAAAAATTTCAATTTATTTGAAAAGTAAGGTTATGTCAAAAAATAAATAAAATAAAAATTGTAGATATTTTTATTATCTACAACTTATATATTAGACTTTTTTTGATCCGAGCTATAGTTTCCTTTTATTAACAAAAAACCGTTTTTTTATGTGTCGCGCAATACAAATTAATGTTTTAACAATAGTAATAATAAAGGTACCATATTTTGAAAACATGTTTTTTATGTAAAATTTGACGGAGAATACGATAAAAATACTAAAAACTTAATACGAGGTGGGGGCCATTGTTAAAAATTGATTTAAACAATGAAATTGTTAATAACAATATGAATTTGTTAATAATATTTATTAAAAATATTTTTTTATAAAAATTCAGTCCTTTAGCTTTAAAATGAAAAAAAAAAGAAGTTTGTAGCTCAAATATAACCAGAGTTATAAATTTTTGAAAATGAGTCTCCAAGCCAAAAAACTCGTTATTCTCAAATTTTCGATAGCTTGTATTATCGAAAATATGCGAGAGAAAAAAAAATCCTCGGACACGTATCTCTTATTTTTCGACATAGAATCCGTAAAAAAAGTTTCAGCCAAATCTGAGATGTGTCGGTCAAAAAGTGTTCGGTTTGTAAAAGAATTACCCATTTAAACAGTTCAATTTCAGTGTTTAGTTTGTGTTTAGTGTTTTCAGTTTGTTTTTAGTTTGTGTTTAGTGTTTTTAGTTCGTTTTTATTATTGTTTTAATAAGTTGTTGAAAAAAATCAGTTCTTTTCAGAACTAAACCAAATGCCAGGCAAAGTCTTAAATTCCCAATCTAGGGAAATGTTTGCCTCATTATTACATTATTTTACGGCCGAAAAGACCAATGGAGGTCCTTTAATTCCTTTTGAGGCAGTTACAGAGGTAATTTGTAATGTTAATATGAATTTTGTTATTAACATTAAATATTTTAGCGTGTTGATGCTGCGTTGAATATCAGCAGTAGTATGGTTAAACGAATAAAACAAAGCATTGATAGAAATGAACCGCTTGAAACTCCAGGACAATCAAAGCCACGGTTATCACTGAAAACCAAAAATTTAGATGACAATATTAAAACAGAAGTTCGTAATATTATCTACAACAATACAATAAAATTAAGTAATTGAGTACCGTAAAACCGGGTGGCTTGGGACAGTGCAGGATTCTTGGGACAAGCGGAACTTAGTTTAAATTTAATTGCCCCCTCTATCTACATTACACTATACGAACTGGAAAAAAATACGGTCGTGTAGAATAGGCATCAGGTGAAGAAATTTTGTTGTCGGTTTTCTCTTTCCTACCATAATTTAACCTAAACAAATATTATTTGGGACGTAAAATATTTTTTTGAAGGTTCTTTATAACCAGTAAGTTTTTTTATAATTTTTTTTGCCATCAATATCCGATAACAGTAATAATATTATGACTAGATAACCTTACTATTCTGTATTTTAAAAAATAGCGTTTTAAGTATGAGACTGTGCAAAAATATAAGGAATATGAAGTAAAATGTATGAGATTTAACTCTCAACTGAAGTGTCACATTTTCCCAACTGTTGAAGATATAGTCACAGTTTCAGTCACTCAAATCACTAAGAAGTCGTCAAAACCCTCAAGTAAAGGGGAAAATTTGTTTTTTGTTTTTTTTTTTAATGTTAGGTATTTTTAAGGTGCTATTACCTAATAAGAAATTGCCAAAATCCTCAGATAAAAGAGGAAAATTTGCCAAAACCTACAGATAAAAGAGGAAATTTTGTATTTAACATGTGATTCAAAAGCTTTTTTGTTAATTTTTTTAGAAGATTATTTTTTTTAATGTTAGATATTTTTGAGGTGCTATTACATGCATTGAATATATTTAGAGTTTTTTTTATTTATACGTACTCAATAAAATGATCGCACCGAGTCTAGAAAACCATATATTACTTCATTTTTATCAAAAACATAATATAGAAGACTACTATTTCTAGATATTATTTAGAAAGAGTATTTTATTTTTATACATAATATTTTTAGAAAAGCAGATAACACTTAAAACTTTAAGAGAAGAACTGATCACAAAACATGTATTAAATGCCTCTCTGACAACCATCCGGAAATTGCTTATGGAATTAGGATTTAAGTCCAAAAAAGACAACAACAGAAGAGCATTGATGGAACGAACTGATATTGCGATAATGAGAATCAACTTTTTTAGAAAATACATGCAAAATAGACATTCTGATTATCCAAGAGAGCTGGTGTTTTTAGATGAAACTTGGATATTTGCTAAAGGAAGCCATACAAGATCCTGGCAAGACTCATCCACAAAAAGTGTACGCAAACCAGAAGGTTATGATGGAAAACGTTTCATTGTGTTGCATGCTGGTAATGAAAAAGGTTTTATTCTCGATGCCGCATTGGTTTACTCCACGAGGTCCAAACTGGCGGATTATCATGGTGATATGAACTCAGAAATTTTTTTGAAATGGTTGCAAGAACAATTCATCCCAAATTTACAGGAAGCTTCTCTAATTATAATGGACAACGCGTCTTACCATAGCGTCTTAATGGAAAAACAACCAACGGCTTCATGGACTAAAAACAAAATTAAGGAATGGTTGGAAGAAAATAATATACCATTAAATAATGATATGTTCAAAGTTTTCAAACTTTTAAATTTAGCCAAGAAACATAAAAAACCAATACGATATAAGGTTAATGAATTGCTACAAGAAAATGGACATGAAGTTTTAAGATTGCCTCCGTACCATTGTCAATTTAACGCAATTGAAATGGTATGGGCCGATGCAAAGGATTATTATAATAAACATATTGGTGAAGATGGCTATGGCAATGATAAAGTGCTTACTATGTGGGAACGGGCATTACAAAAAGTTACTCCAGAATCATGGAAGTCAAAAATAGCACACACTGAAAAAATTATAGAGGAATGGTACAATAAATAAAGAATCTTGGACGATGATCATGGTCATGAAATGATAATCCACATTGGTAACGTCAACGACGATGAATCGGAAGATGATAGCGATTAAGATATCTTATATATAGATATTAACATATTAATAGATGAAAATAGATCCTTTTAATGCAGTTAAGAGCATTTATCATTAAATTATT